TGCCAGGGGACGCGGACAAGGTGAGAGATGCCTCTCGAACCTTCTCGAGAAGGTCGGCAGCATCCATGGCCAGAAGCGCAGATTCGCGGGCAACGGCCTGAAGGGCAGCCGCAGGGGGATGGGGACAGCTGGGGACGGCTGCCCCTCGTCACGCCGGGTGCCATTTCGGGGACAGCTGCCCCTCGTTACACTGGGTGCCATTCTGGGGACAGCTGCCTCTCATCGTGCCCAGTGCCATTTCAGGGACAGCTGCTCCTTGTCATGCCCGGTGCCCCCCGACTCAGGTGGCTGCGGGCTGGGGTGAACTCCGCCGCTGACAGCAGCAGCCCCAGGAGGACGTTAAGCCACTGGCATGAGGATGGCGTTGCTGTTCTCGTTCCGGAAGTTGGCTTTGATCACCATTTTTGCCCTTGCACGCTTTCCCCGATACCTGCTCGCTGGAGCCCGCAGTCTGGTTTGCAGGCGAGGAACTGCGGGCCCCAGGATACAACCAGAAGTTTCTCCACCTCTCATCATCGGTCGGTCTAAGAGGAGGCGTAACCTTGCTTCCTTATGCACTTGCCTCCAGCCGAGGTTTATCTCCTTTTCCTAAGCAACTTCTGTAGTGAACTCCTTTTTGAAGGCTTATTTTATTGTATCACTAAGAATCCTTCAGAAAAATAACTTATATTAATATTAACTTGACACCATAATCCTACTGTGATGTGACTTGCTCGCATCAGTCCTTCCTTTGTGAACATCCAGAGCAAGCTGCAGAGGAGGCACTGAGCATGTCTTTTTGTTCTTGGCAATTAAACATTGACAGTTTGTTTTTGCACCTTGAAAGGATACTAAAATTAGACATTTGTATTTCCTTAGACCTCAGTCACTTTGAATTAAATTAGTGTCTCTGAGAGGACAATGAGGTTTTTTCCTTCTATCAAATTATCTGTTTGCTGATTAATTTGTAACTATTCTTTAAATAACAATAGGATATTTTTTCCTATACTACTTTGATTTTTTTTAGTAACTACTTAATGGTAATAGGATTAAGTGTTTAAATAGTGAATGAAATGCCGTTGACGTGTGTTAGGTTCTTTCACGGAGCTACACAGCAATTTGTGACTGCTGGCCCCCACACATAAGTCACCTACCTGTTTATTTTCCACAGGAGTACACAATGGATGTCTTCTTTCGGCAGACGTGGACTGATGAGAGGCTGAAGTTTAGTGGGCCAACTGAAATTTTGAGATTGAACAATTTGATGGTCAGTAAAATTTGGACACCAGACACATTTTTTAGAAATGGAAAAAAATCAATTGCTCATAATATGACAACTCCTAACAAGCTTTTCAGAATTATGCAGAATGGAACTATTCTTTACACAATGAGGTGAGAGCCTATTCTTCTGCTTTTGGTTGACATTTATTTCTGATTCTTTCAGCAGTGTTCCTGCATTCTTTTTTTTTTCATTGTTGTCTACTATAATGTATTCTAGACTAACCATTAATGCTGATTGTCCCATGCGGTTGGTGAACTTCCCTATGGATGGACATGCTTGTCCATTGAAGTTCGGAAGCTGTAAGTTTTTCTGTATCTTTCGGTTTTTTATAGTAATATGTTTGGCCTACATGTATGTGAGAAGATCAGAAGTGAGATGCTAGGACACTACTCAATGACATAGCTGAAATTTTTTATTATATTTTTATACTAGAATCTTACTTTCTCCTCTGAGACTCGGGCCATTCATAAAGATGTGGATTTGTGCATGGAAGGGTGACTGTGGAAGCGTATTTTATTGTTTATTATTCTTACACGCCTGGTAGTCAAAGCGTGTCCTTCAACAAGTCATAAAATCGGTGGCACATTTACTATGTCGCTTCTAGTTTTGCAAAATGAAAAGCCTCAGTCGATCTGTGGTAATCAATCTGTGTGCTTTATAGCAAATTAAGAAGCAAAACGTAGTGCCTATCAGGTCCTGCCTCAACTTTTCTCTTATTGTTGGGTTTCTTGTGTTTTGTCATTGATGAGGTTAGGAGCTTGCTGGAGCAGGATGCATGTGTCTGTGGGTTTCTGAGGCACAAAAGGGATCATGTTACTTATTTTTTTCAGTTGCTTATCAATTAAAAAATTAATAAGAGTAATTTTTCCCTCTTTAACTCAGATGCTTATCCAAAAAGTGAAATAATTTATACATGGAAAAAAGGACCCCTGCATTCAGTAGAAGTTCCACAAGAGTCTTCCAGTCTGCTCCAGTATGACCTCATAGGACAAACTGTATCTAGTGAAACGATTAAATCTAACACAGGTAAGACATGGCCAGGTGGGAACTACTGATGTTATAAAACACACCTTGAAAATAAATTACAGGTTTTTTTCTGTATCAAATTGAATTGGTTTAATCATCTTTTGCCATTTTAAAAACTAAAATCCTTGGAAAGAATCTAACCGTTGTCTCTTAAAAGGTAGCTTTTCAGTACTGTGCCTTTGAGCGTACAATTTTTTATGCAATTCTTAAGAATTCCCCCTGCCTCACCGCCCCAGTAAAAACAGTATGTAAAATGAATATTATTGTCCTCTGTTTCCATAAGGTCACTTTACCTCTTTTAATCAGCTTACTTTTGTTCTGCACTAGGAAGCCTGTAAGTGCTTTCCTCAGAGCATAGTATGTTGGGTTTAAGCCAATAACGTTTACTCGTCTGTTGCCAAAATAATGCTGACATGCTTGTCTCTTAACAGGTGAATATGTAATCATGACAGTTTATTTCCACTTGCAAAGGAAGATGGGCTACTTCATGATACAGATATATACTCCGTGCATTATGACAGTCATTCTTTCTCAGGTGTCCTTCTGGATTAACAAGGAGTCTGTTCCAGCCAGAACGGTGTTTGGTACGCTGCGTTAAGGTCTTTGAACAGCTCAGCATCACATGTACCATTCATTCATCATCTTTCATTGCTTGTTTGCTTTAGGTGAATATTCACTTCAGCTGCTCTATTTCCATCTGCAAAGGAAAATAGGCTACTACCTCATTCAGACATACATTCCATGCATCATGACCGTAGTCCTGTCTCAAGTTGTGTTTTGGATCAACAAAGAATCTGTTCCAGCAAGAACCGTGGCTGGTATTCCTGTTTTCTTCTTTTACCATTCACTTCATTCGCTGTATTGACTCCGTTGTATCAAACAGCTACTGTAATCCAGTGGGGACTGGAAAAGACAACTAGTAGATTTCAGTGAAAAAAAGTAAATACTAAGATTTAACCAAATAATATTCAATCTGCCCACGAGGGTCCAGATTCTTTACTCAGAATGTTTGGTTAGCCAGACTCGTTTGTGATGTTTTTCTTCACCTCGATACTGCTTCGTATGCAGGAAGGAACAATTTCAGAGTAAATGTCAACCTCTCAATTTTTTAAAGAGAAATTTTTCTATGGAATTATTCTCTTGTGAAACCAATCTGAGTTAAAGGTTTTTAAAAAAAAATATCGCATGGGTGGAATTAATCTCATCTGACACAAGGCACCTCATCTGGCACTCGTTCTGAAGTGCTCTCCTGCCCTTGTCTACACCGGTATCTGAACAGCTAGCAAGAGCTGTAGGTGGATAAAGTTAGGTGAGATGAATCCCGTCCTTAGCACAGGTTGGAGTTGTCACGTGAAAGCTGTGTTCATATTGCACAGCAGGGCCCTTTTTTCTTTCCAGTAGTTGGAATTAATGCTCCCAAAGGTGTGTTTTATCTCCTTAATTTTTAGTGCGCCCCCCCACACACACTTCCACAGACCAGCAAGTGAAAAATGGGAGGCAGAAATACTTGAAGAGGCCCTCTTGCGTTCTTTATAATTGTGTCATTGGGAAGAATGGCAGACTGCTAGTATGAAATTCCTTATTTTACATGGAGCTATGTACGTGGCTGTGCGTAGTTTTATGAAGCGTGGCTTTATTGGAAATTATTTAGAATAAGATACATGGTAATTGGAAGCCTAGTTTTAAGTATCCTCTGAATCTGTATAGCAATGGCTATTACTTCACCTTTTTATGTGCCTTTATCTAGTCTCTTTTATTCCTGGCAGAAAGTTCAGCTGTTATTTTGCAGAAGGGCAGTAGTCAGCTCCTGCCTTCCTAGCAGTTCACCCTGGGAATTCTAAATTAGTACCTAGTTGTGAAATATTCAGGTAATTCTAAATTAGTACCTAGTTGGGAAATATTCAGGCAGGGAAAGGTGTTTGGGGTTTTTTGTTGTCTCATTTTCAGTAAGAAAAGATAACACATTTCAGTATTTGCATTCTGTAACAGATTCTTCAAAACTTACCAAGAAGCATTGAAAGTGGAAAGAGAAGGGTAAACAGTCATCAGTTACCAGCTGTAATTTGGCATTCAGTTTGGTAAAGGAGCTTTCCACAGTGCAGAGCATTTCATCAATATTCACTCCACATTGAGAGAAGTCTTATCTATATCTGTAATAGAATAGGAGTCCTATTCCTAAGTTTAAATTCCTGCTACAGTAAGTTTTTATTCAGACACAGAATATATCATTTTTATTACTAACTAGCACATGGGCAGATTCTAATCTAATCACGCATCATATTGAAAAGTTCATTCTGGACCTTTGAAATTGAAATATATCTCAGCATACTTGTATTCATATTATAAAATGAGTGTGGCGGATTTGGGAGAAGCAGAGATCCTGCAGATTTTTATACCGTCTCCTGTTTGCATTTCATTAAAACATGTTAAGTAATGACATTGGGATGCAGTTAACCTCAGACAGCTGGCAAGCTACATCATGTGAAAGAGTTGCAAAAAACCTCTGAAAATAATCAAGCCACCCTGTCTTGGTGCTGCAGTATGCAATGACACTGCATCCTTTGCACTGAGCATCATTCACAGCATATTGATTCATCATCACCGCATGACACGGTAACATCTTTCACTCTCCCACCTACCCCTTCCCAACAGCAGGCAAGCGCAGAGGAGGGTATTCTCCACATCACTGTCTTTAAATACCTGCAGTTTTCATATTCTAGCAGGCATAATTACACATAAACATGAGTCACAGAGGCTTATATGTTAATGAATGAGTTTGCTGTTGCACTTTTTGCTTGTGTCAGGCAGCAGTGGGAAGTAAATATATTTCCTACATTATTAATGCTGTACACTCCAAAACAGAAGGAATAAATTCATGAGTTCGCATGAAGAACACTATGGGGCCCATGAGCTACATGAGCAGATTTGTTGTGTGAAAATAGATAAAGAGCTCTGGAGAAGCAGCATTTCTGTCCTTCCATGTCTGTGACTACGGGTCCTATTGAACCAAGATATTATTAATGAATCTTAAAAGAACATATCCAGTGATGAAAGACAACTGCACAGAGGACCAACCTCTTATCACTAGAAATATTTGGATCATAGCCTACCACTAGTTTTAATGCAGAATTTGGTTGATTCAGTGAGGGTTCTGTAAGCCATGATCTGCCTTGTGCAACAACAGGAGGAAGAGGGGATACCTGCTGGGAAACGACAGCATGTTAATGTAGATTTCTGCCAAACATTCCACTTACTGACCCATCAGCTGAACTGTCTTTCATAGTTTGAGCCTGAATTTTGTTGTACCCATGTTTATCACAGTTCTAAGCAGCTGCACCGTTAGGTATGTAGTTACCTTAATTTTCAGTCTGCTCAGTGTATTACGGAAGTTTGTTCAGAGCTTTTAGATGCTGAAGCCAGTATACATGAAGTTCTTAAGCATACAGAATGCTTCGCAGTCGTGTTGATTAGCTGGTACATAGGTAAAACCAAAGAGGAGGAGGGTTTTTTTTAAATATATGTGAATTTAAGAGTAGCAGAGTTGAAGCAAAATTCTAATGCTCCATTTTCTTTCTCTTATTTTCAAGGAATCACTACAGTTCTAACAATGACCACTTTAAGCATCAGTGCACGCCATTCTTTGCCCAAGGTGTCCTACGCTACCGCCATGGATTGGTTCATAGCTGTGTGCTTTGCCTTTGTCTTCTCTGCACTTATTGAGTTTGCAGCTGTCAACTACTTCACCAATCTTCAGACTCAGCGAGCGATGAGGAAGGCAGCCAGGGCAGCAGCACTGGCAGCGGCACTATCGGCAGCAAATGTACCGGCAGAGGACGAGATTGTCTCGGTAATTGCTTGCTTTTCTGGTAATAAGCATCATATAGGAAGGGGCAGATGAAGTAGTGAATGAAAAACAATATTAAAGTGGTGTTAACCTGAAACAGATTGTGTAACCAGATCACGTCTATTTATCAAAGACCTTGCTTCTGTTTCAGAAAATGAGAAGACTTCATTTATTCATACTGTTTATTTAAATTTGAGATACGATTTACTAGAGAGATGTTTATTTGGTAAGGTATTTAAGGAAAGCCATTAGGCTGTTACTCGTAATACTTCTCTTGAGCAACGCTGTAGGCAGCGTGGTCAGGCAGCTGCGGTTCTCTCTGTAAGGCTGCAGAATCTGTAGGACGCTGTACAATGGAATGAACGTGTGCCTTGGCCAGCTGATGATGGGATCACTGGAGTGCGCTAGTGCATGCCATAAGTGGGTCATCTGGAAGAAGAGGAATTAGCCTTTACATAAACTTGGCATCTGTTACTTTCATAAAAATCTGTGTTCGTGGAAGCTTGGGGGAAAAAAAACATAAATGTAAAGATTAAGGATAGATTTTAGTACATGTGAAAGACAGGAAGGCTTTCTAGTATCAAAAAGACTGTATCAGAATTGCTCATAAATATTATTCCGTACATCTCGGGCTAAGTAATGAATGCTGCCTCGCAACATATGTTAATGTATTTATCACTGTAGCCCTCCTGTTTTCAAAATCACTTTTACTACCACCATGTTTCCGATTTTGAGAGGGATAACAGAATTTGAATGACCTTCTGCAAAACCTTAGAGTCTGTAGCTGAATAAGGAAGTCAGTCTAGGAGCTGTTGAATATCAGGGCAACACCCACCATACAGTCATTTTTCCACGTTTGCTTATAAACAGCAGTTAAATTTATAAGATTTAGGTACATTCAAACCGTTAAATTCATAATTGAGAAGTTCCGTAAAATAGCGAAACCAAAGCTCCGCAGCAGCTTGCTACTGCTCCTCACTGGAGCTAATCAACAAATGGTCTTCATTTCACCCAGAAAGCATTGTGTTTCTGCACCATGTAGTATTTTGCCTACAATTTATTAATATTGAATAAAAATGAAGACATTGCAAGATACATTATTTTTACTAAATATATAAATGTAAAAAGAAGAAAATCTCTATACATTTTAACTCAGAACCACAGCTTTTCTCTTTGTTGTTTACACCACAGTTATATTAAGAAAATACAAAAGAAAGTCCAAAAAATATAAAAGGAGCTTGGAAGCAAATGTTTGCAGAATCTTGCACTAATTTTAAAGTGACAGCAGAAAGGCTGATTTAGGTTTGGCAATATTTGCAATGTTCATACCTACATTTATTTTAGCTGGCAAACTTTTATAATTACATTTAAACTTTACAAAACCAATGAGAGGAAACGAGAGTATGGATTTGCCAGTGTTTAGGACATACTTCCCCTTTCCCAAGTATCATGACATTTGACTGAGAAGTACTCTGGACTGAATGAGCATAACGTTACAACAGGAAACTGCTGTAAAATAAGGAAAATACTGTTAGGACTGAAGGAACTTTAGAATGTACTAAAGCTTCATTTTTATTCTTTTGTTAACTTTTTTTGGAAGGCATGCTATCAGAAAAAAAGCTAGAGAGAGCGCTTGGCTTTGTGTAGCATGAGGAAAATACTGATAGCTGCTACATCACGAGGAGGAACAACAGCTCTGATCTTTCCTACGCACACTGCCTTGTTCGAGTTAGTCACAGGGAGGTTTCCCAGCAAGAAAAAGCAACTGGTTGTTTCTTGAAGTCCCCGCTGAGTGGTGTGAAGACGTTTGGCTTGCTCTGCCGATGCTGCTGCTGGTGAATTCACAGCAGATGCTACAAAGCCACCGCCACCCTCCCACCCCTCCCCGGTCTCCGGAGCACATTGGTTTCAAACAGTAACCCTCTGCGTGTGCCCAGCTGGGCAACAACACGCTGCTGAGGACTGTGGCTCCTCCAGGACTTGCAGATGAGATCTCCATGGTGTCTGTATCATTGCAGACCAATGATACCAAGCACACACTACAAAATTGCTGTTGAACAAATTAATGAAAGCAAAACAAACTAAAAGGCTTCGAGTTTGTTGTCAAGGGCTTCAGCCACAAACAAGGGCAGAGCCAAACACAACGTATGCATTCCTCGTTTTGTAAACATTTACTTGTTACAGTCCGAGTAAAAACAAGCGAAAAATAAGCATCTAGGAATAAAATAAACATCTAGGAAGCACACTACAGACGTTTCCTCAAGGAAACTATTTACAACTAGCTAACAACATGCAGATTTAGAAGAGCAGTCCAAAGGTGAACTCAGTCTCTAAAACAGCCCACGGCATTCACAAAATTCTGTAGTCTTGATCTTGCTCAAAGCTCATCTTATCCCTGACAGTAATTTTCAAGCCCTGATAGTCCACCAATTTTTTTTCTCACAGGACCAGTTCCCTATGAGAACCCACCTCTGCAGCAATAGAAAAATAAAAATCAATGAGATCATAAAAATGAAAGGTACTTACAACTGAGGGAAAGGTGATGTGGTCAAAATGGCTTCTGGAAGAATTAACTATTGGATTCAAAAGGTCCCATTCCAGAAAGGCCTGCTGAGAAAAAGGAGTCATTACCAGATAACAGACTTGAAGAAGCTTTTTTTCTTTTTTCTTTTCTTTCTTTTTTTGTGTAGTGAAGATAAGGGGGAGAGAACTTTTGTATGTTGTCACCTAGATGGATGTACCGCAGTCAGTGATACAATTTCCGCTGAGACAGACCTGAACTGGCTACTTTGAATGCTAACAGTGTAGTTGGCACAGGCTGGCTGCGTGAGCATCTGACCGTTTCCTTGGGACTATCATCCTCTGCTGAGCTGTGTGCTGCTGTAGCTACGTTACTGCTTTTGAGGCAGTTCTGTTTAAATAAGGCACACAGCGTAATATGCAGTTTCTTTCTTATTGTAACTTTCGGGGCTGTTTCTGAGGTCCTCATTGGCCCTTTGTTGCCCCATACCCCCAGCCTGTTCCCTTTGTTTGCCTCTAAATTCTTTAATCACTTTTCCTTCCAGATTTTCCTTTTTTTTTGGTTGTCACAATGCCCAGTTCTTATTCTTTATCCCTTGCATAATTTATCTTACCTCTGTTTGTCTTCTTTTTGCCTTTTCTTCCCATATACTCCACCTCTCTTCTTAAAATGTTTTCTAATTCACTAGAAAAAAAGATCTGTTAGATTTCATGTCTTATACATTAAAATGTTTTTTAACTTTCAACTTTATTTGATAAAATAACCAAACTAAAATCTTTCCCTCCTCTCATACCCTGGACTTTGGCACCTTGTCTTTTCTAATCTGTGATTTTTTTTAAATTTTATTTTACATTCTTCTTTTAGATAGGATAGTAAAGTTTTTCATCCACTTGTAATACTAGTATTTTTATTTGTGATTTTTAAGCACATGAAAGTGGTCATAATGGTAGCTGTATAAAAGGGTAGTTAGTGGATGAAGAGTAGTGAACAGCATGTCAAAAATGCTTACTGTCTTCTGCGTTTATATTGAGAAAATTTCTGAAGATTGTAAAGGCTTACTTGGTTTTGGGGAGTCTGTGTGTAAAAATAGAAGTGAACAAGTGAGATGTACTGACTTAGAAATTTTCATGGCTGTACCACTGCCAGTGGAACTGCTACCAGTAGCAACGTTAAGAGTAACAATACAGACTATACGTTTTTAGTAATGGATTATCTGAAATTGCCTGAAGAGTGGCTAAAGAATGTTGTGGAGGGAATAATCTTAGGCCATCTGAACTAGTACTTTCTCTGTGGCAGGAGACTCATTCTCCTCCTTTGCGTAAGAGAAGCCCAGGGAGACAGTTTTGGTATAAATGAAAAGTCAAAGGAATTATAAAGCAGCCAGTTAGAAGCTTTTGCTGCTTGAGTGAGGGCCTAAACTCATCAAGATAAATTTATTTACAGAATATATTAATTTTTTTTAAATTTCAAATTAACTATGTTTCCTGCAAAAAACCTCAAAAATCTTTCAAAATGCTATCAAAATCCTCCTTCCCCCTTCGGTCTAGTTAATTTTATTTAAAATCTTACTTTATTCAAATGAACAGAACTTTTCCTCGCAGGTTTTTGCATCGTAGCCAAAAACCCTGTACGCTCAGAAAAGCAGAATGGCAGAGGACCAGGTCTGCCCTGCCGTACCAACGG